CCAATTGCAATAACCAACATTAGCCCCTCAACCCCTGACTGTCTCCCAATCCATTTCCTCTCCATTCCTTCTAAGCCACCTCTACAGAGTCAAAAGGAAAGCAAAACGGTAAAAAGGCAAAATAAATAGCTCTTTACTTGAATGCACACAGCATTTAGAACAAAATAAATGAATTAACAACACAAATAAATGTTCATGGGTATCATCTGAAAATCATTACGGAGACAGGGTTACAACAAGAACAAAGCTGGGAACTAAATATTCAGGAATATATGACTTCTCGAAAGGGCATGCAGGAAAGAAAGGATAGTGAGGTAACATTGTTACTATGGGATAGAATAATTATGATAGCCAGAAATGATCTTGGATTAGGAGATGTAAAGTCCATATGGGTGGAGATAAGAAATTTTAAAAAAGGAAAAAGACTTTGGTAGAAGTCTATAACCCCCTAATGGTAGTGATACAATAGAACAGATAATAAATCAGAAAATAATGTTTAAAAAAAGCAGTACATTAATCATGGGGGATGTTAATTTCATAAAGATTGGAATGTCAACTTGGCAGAGGTAACTGTGAGGAAGAATTCATATTATGTTATGGGACAGTTTCCTAGAACAATATGTTGTGGATCAAACCAAGGAGCAGGCTATTTTAGATCTGATTATGTGTAATGAGGCAGCTTTAATATATTATGTCACAGTAAATGATCCCTAGGAAACAGTGACCATAATATTTAACATTCAATTTGAGTGGGAGGAACTTGAGTTGGAAACAACTGTTATAAGCTTAAATAAGGGTAATTACAAAGCAATGAGGACAGAGCTACCTGGAGTGCACTCAAGAAAACGGTTCATGGCTCACAGCAAAAACAGATTCCAGTGAGGAAGATGGATCCCAAGAAGGAGATAAGCTGGCTATGGTTAACTAGGGAAGTTGAGGATAGCATCTAATTGAAAAAGAATACAATGTGGCAAAAGTTAGTGATAAGCCAGAGGTTTTGGAAAATTCTAAAATGCAACAAAAGTAGGAGAAAATTAGCTATGACAGTAAATTTGCAAGTACTATCAAGACAGACAGCATGGGCTTCTTTAATTATATAAAAAGAAGAGGGAGATCAGAGGTAACAGGCCCCTTAGAAAGTGAGGCTACAGAAATAATAATGGGGAGTCCGGAAATGGCAAAGAAGTTGAACATATACTTCACATCAGTCTTCACAAAATTAACAAGTAATCAAGGAGCAAAAGAAGGAGAGGAAGTACATACAATAATAATCACTAAATGCGAAGTTATGCACTTTGGCAGGACTAGAGGAGCTGAATATTATTTAAATAGAGAAAGACTGCACAAAGCTACAGAACAGCGGGATTTGGGAGTCCTCATCCATGAACCACAAAAAGCTAGGATTTAAGTTCAGCCTGCAACAGGGAATACAAATGGAATGTTGGCCTTTATTTTAAAGGGAATAGAGTACAAAGGTAGGGAGGTCTTGCTAAAACTATACAAGGCACTCATCAGCTGCAATACTGTGAACAGTTTTGGACAGTCATTTACAGAAAAGTATAATGGCATTCGAGGCAGTCCAGAGAAAGTTCACAAGGCTGACACCAGGTTTGGAGGGGCTGTCTTATGGGGCGAGGTTGTGTATGTTGAACATGTGTTCAGTGCAATATAGAAGAGAGGCTTTCTTACTGAAACTTTTAGGGGATTTGACAAGTTGATCCAGTACATTGAAAGGCCTGCTATCCTATGTTTCCATGGTCTCTATGCCTTACACTTCCTTATAGTGCCATGTCCCCTCTAGGATCTCTACTTATCACCCGGTATCCACTATCACAACCTCAGAAACCGTGTCACAACAGTGGAAAGGCTTTGAAATAAACATGAAAAATTAAACATCTAACAATTCAATAGAGCTGTCACTGAAAGAAAACTCCAGGTCCAATGAAAACAATTAAATACCATCAAGTGATTATTCAGTTGTAAAAAAAAGCAAAATTCTACTCAGTAACCACATCAAAGATATAATACTTTATTAAGCTGTCACACAGCCCACGCTGAGATAGCTTTTGAAATTCAAGAAACCATTTATAATGGGCACAATTATCAAAATTACTTCTGCTCCAAACAATGAATCTTGAAGGGCTAAAAGGAGTATTTGATTACTCTTATGGGAGAATCTAGAACTAGAGGCAACTGCTTAAAAATCAGCTGTTGCCCATTTAAAACAAAGATTAGGTGGAATTCTTTCTTCAGAGGACCATGAGTCTTTGGAACTCTTTCCAAAAAGGTAGTAGAAGCAGATGCTTGAATATTTTTAAGGCAGAGGTAGATATATTTTTATTAAACAGGGTGGTTGTAAAGATATCAGGGGTAGGTGGATATGTGGATTTGAAATTATAATCAGATCAGCCAAGATCTTAGTGAATGGCAGATCAGGTTTGAGGGGCAGAATGGCCTCCTGTTCCTGATTCACACAAAGCCTATTCAAACCAGAAAGTCAGATAGCTAGGTTTTTTTCTGAGTTATGCTGGCTACATCTGGTAATTAAAACAATCCAGGTACAAATGGCACTTTTTCTCTAATTGAATATTTATATGTTTTATATTCGTATTTAATGCAATGTGGACATTCAAATTGCTGCAAATCACGACACTGGAGTTCCCAAGCACAGTTTCGAATGAATGATACATTTTTCCAAATGGGTAAAGTAACCTAACGCATCTTAACACTTGCAAAATGCTAATCAATGGTCAATTTAATTTTGCAGGACACAGCCCTATGATCAATTACTGCAGTAGGAACACATCTAACTTATAACTGAGCATCTAACTGTCGAGACTCAAAATATATTTCTTTTGTTTGCACTTCAATGCCAATGTCCTGTCAGTCAAAGAATTCCAGGAAGAGGCAGCTATTTGTTTCTGTTCTCCACTATGGACTTGGATTTCTCTGTGGCTCAGAGCTCCTTTGATGTGGTATGAACCACAAATACTTACCATGGGGGCCCACTCCATAAAAATTGCATGGTGTTAGAACTCCTCAACCTCACATTGGAGCTGGTAAGGGTGGGAGTGCCGTGTGTGGGCTGGCTACCTACACCTTTATCATCTTCTGGCAAAAATTGCCACAAATGGGGTGAGAATACTGGAATCAGGTCCTGTTCACCATTTTCAGAGGACTCCCAAGTCAGCCTGATCCAGCAATAACCTTGGCCACCGGTTTTTGTAGTTCAAGTATATAGTTGGAGGCAATTTCTGCTCTTTCAGGACTGATTACTGGATATTTTGACAGTTTAAATGTACTGAAGAGCTGAGTATCTTCACTGTCTATGTGAAAACTGTGTTGTGTTTTTTGGATCATTTTATGAGGGACAGAGTGTAGATGAGAAACAAGAAGGAGACCAAGAATAGATTTGTTACAATCAGCAGAGGTAACAGTATGGTTGTGAGTTGCGAAAACATCACAGATGATTCTCTTACTGTTGAATCAGAGATAGTAGGAACTGCAGATGCTGGAGAATCCGAGACAACAAGGTGCAGGGCTGGATGAACACAGCAGGCCAAGCAGCATCATAGGAGCAGAGAGGC